GATTTGCCCACTCCAAATTGATTCCCGAATGACCGGTAGCTGTCTGGCGTTGCAAGCTTCCACAGGGCTATCGCCACTCGCTTCTCAACTGCGAGGGATGCTCTCATCTTGGTATTCTGGCGCTTCAGGGCAGGGGAAAGCAAGTCACAAAGTTCCATGAAAGTGCCCTTATGCATGCAAAAGTTTTGCAGCCACTGGGAATCGTCCCACACCTGCAACGCTATGCGTTCCCACCAGTGTGTGCTTGTTTCCCGGGCCCAGAATCGGCATTCCATGGCTAGAACCTGCCCCATTAACAACATGATCTCCAAAGCGCCGGGGCCCGCGGTTTGAGAGAATTCTGTGTCCATGTCCTCATCACTCTCGTTGCCGCGCTGCCGTCGCCCCCTCCTCCTCGCCTGTTTTTTCAGGTCCTGGTTCAGCATAAACTGCACGATAATGCGGGAGGTATTTACAATGTTCATAACTGCTGTCTTGAGCTGAGCGGGCTCCATGCTTGCTGTGGTATGGTGTCTACAGCGTTCACCCAGGAAAAAAGGCGCAAAACGGTTGTCTGCCGTTGCTTTCATGGAGGGAGGGGTGAGGCTGTACCCAGAACCACCAGCGACAATGTTTTTTGCCCCATCAGGCCTTGGGATCTCAACCCAGAATTCCAACGGGCGGGGGAGACTGCGGGAACTATGGGATAGCTATGGGATAGCTACCCACAGTGTAATGCTCCGGAAGTCGACGCTACCCTTGGTACATGGACACACACCGCAAAATTAATGTGCTTAGTGTGGGCGCATTCACTCGACTTTATACAATCGGTTGCCAAAAATCGAATTCTGTAAATTCGGAGTAATCCCGTAGTGTAGACATACCCTCAGTATCTAATAACTAATGGCTTATTTATGAGAGGAAAGAGGAGAGAGTTAAAATGATCAAAGAAATCATATACATACAATCATTGCAACGTTCTTAGATCAGGTTTGTAGCAGTGATGTTACAGATTGCTGGCTTGTAAAGTCTCTTGGAACTTCCAAACGACTGGAAGGTCCTCAGTCTATAGTCAATATGCTCCTTTTAGTGTAAATGCATAGTCCAAAGATCAGAGCAGGAAAGAGACAAAATGGTGATGCTTTCAGGGTCCTTTATACCTTCTCCCATGTGGAGGGACTGGTCTCAGTCTTAGTTTGTGGAAAATTACAGGCACAAGATGGAGGCCAGGGTCATATGAGCAAGTCACATGCCCTTGCATGCTTTGATGACTTATAGGAGCAGCCATTACCCATATTCTGGCTAAAGTATCCACAGGAAGGCTCACAGGGTGGGAAGGAGTTTCTTCTATGGCCCATTGTGAGAGTTAAGTGTTCTTTGATGGGCCATCAACTTGAATGGGCTATTCACAATGTGCTGGCTAGACTGGATATAAACTACCTTCTGGGTGTTACTGTAGGAGCAAACATATTTGAAATACTGGTACATTGTGTCTAACATTATGAATATTGACTAAGATGATACATGCATACAAACAGGATAATCATATTTGACAAATTGTAACCTTTCCATTGATACCTTACATGACACATTTTGAATACCATTTGGTGCAATTGTCTAACAGTGGCAATATTAATGATATAAATGGTCATATTTCAGTCATACAGGATCACACCAGCTCCTCTTGCCAGTGTGGAGAAGGCCCTGCCCCACTGTGACCATTGGCCTTGTAAAGTCCTTGTGCTCAAGGGGGCTCAGGGACCAGGACTGTGGCCCTGACCTCACACACCCCTTGCAGCCCCACATAGGGTTCAGTGCAATCTGGCCCTTAATGGTTACCTGCTAAATTTAATCCATAGTTTATGAAGTAAACTATTTTAAATACTGCATCTACATTTTAGCTTAGCTGAAAGTGCCTGACCAAACCTTTATCAAGGGAGCCTTTGTTTATCTTATTTTAATCATAAATATAGAAACCAAAAAATAAAACTAATATTTTAGGTTTTTTTCAAGAAAATTAGAGTGCTGAACCTCAAGACCAACTAAAGTATATACACTTCTTAGAGAGAGTGAAGCAAATGTTATGCAATGATAACAGCCTAGCAATGGTATATCTTCTGGTTATATATTGTTGCATAGGCACCGACTTCCCATTTGCCCGGTGGATGACCCCTGCCCCTGGCCACACCCTTCCCCGCCTCCTCCCGCCCCTGCACTACCCTTACCCCGCCCCCATTCCACTCCCTTCCCCCAAGTCCCCGTCCCTGCCCCGCCTCTTCTCCGCCTCCTCCCCTGAGTGTGCCGTGTCCCCACTCCTCCCCCGTCCCTCCCAGAAAGTCCAAAGTGCTGCCAACAGCTGTTTGGCGGAGGCCAGACAGAAAGCCATGGGAGGTAGGCGGAGGAGCGGGAATGCGGAACACTCGGGGGAGGAGGAGGCAAGGAGGGGGAGGGAGCAGGGAGAGCTTGGCTGCTGGTGGGTGCTAAGCACCTGCTAATTTTTCCCCATGCCCTAGAGCACCCACGGAGTCAGCACCTATGTATTGTTGTTCTTTTATAATGCCAGTCCAGGTACAAAAAGCAAGACCCATGCTGTAGGGGATTTACATTTGTGTTAGTGTCAGGAGATTCAGATGTATGGAGTTAATGTTAACAAAAGGTCTGACCACTAGCATACCATTAATTTAGTACAAAGCTGTAGGGTTTATTTATAGGACAATCCCATAATAAAGACTACAAAGCTGCCTGATTAGCATGTATCTACTGTTCTGCTGCATCTTAGAGCATTTCTGCAAACAAGCTGATAATATGGTTGATTTTGTACTCACTTCCACCTGTGCACACCAGAAATAACTGCAGTTAGTGATGTATAAATAGGGTAAGTGAGCTCAGAATCAGATTCAGTGTCTGTATGTCATAGCTTACCATGGCATAGTTTTGGGGTAATACTACAGAGTGTGGGTGATTCTCCACATGCAATGTAGGGACAGGGGCGGCTCTAGGCACCAGCAAGCACGTGCTTGGGGCAGCCCATTTGCAGGGGCGGCAGGGATCCAGCATTGGAGCTGTAGTTCCTTGGTTAGCTCTCTGCCTATAGAGCCAGCCCTGGAGCAGGGAAAGAACTACATTTCCCAGCATTCCCTTGGCCACTACCAACAGGAAAGAGGGGGAGGGAGTGAGGTAGCTGAGACCTCATGCTGCAGTGAATGGAGAGCTGCACTGTGAGTAGGGATACCATATTTTAACATTCAAAAAATAGGACACTCCATGGGGAGGGAGGGTAGCCCACCCTGCCACCATCCACCCCCTCCGACTGCCCCCCACAGAAACTCCAACCCATCCAACCCCCCCTGCT